AGGTTGCTCCTCCCCCCCCTCCCCACACAGCAACTGCAGCTTTCTACGACAGAGGAGCCCGTCTCTTCCGAGCAAAGCAATAAGCAGCTTCCCAGGGTAGCAGCCAGGAATGCTCCCCCCCCAATTCTGCCATAAGGCCAGGCAGGGCAGATTTAGGAGCACTTCATGGTCCAGGAGCGCCAATGCAGGGCCTGGCTCTGCCCACTTTGCCTCCCTGCCTCTGTTGGGCTGCTTCCTCTAGCACCCCATTTTCTGGAGGCCAGCAGTGCCATCTGATGGCTCAGAGGCCTTTTCTCTTCGGTTGCTGTTCACAATCTAATACTGGAAGAGCTGCTACCAGCCCCCCACCCCCACCCCCGGCCTGTACCTGGCTCAGGCCTCCCTGACAAGGCACACCCCACGAGCGTGCTGCTGTTCAGACCATTCCCTGACGTGGAGGGACTGAAATGCTCATCCCCCCTATTAGCAGTTCCTAGTTAAAGCTGTGCAACAACCTGCAGAAACAGCGAGGACGGAAAGACGGCGAATCGTCCCTGACCGAGATTCAGTCTGACAAATCCACACCGGGCCCTGTGCTGCTTCTGTCCTGCAAACGTTGCAGGAGCCCCCTCTCCCCAGGAGGGATCCCCCCCTGGGCAAAGTTGGCACCCTTTATGCAGGCCTGAGGGACAAGAGCCATTTGCAGAGGAGAGATGTTGCAACTGTTGGGGCTCCCAAGGGAAAGTCCTCACATTTCAGAAGGGGCTGTGAGCTTCTCAAGACTGGCCAAGGAAGGCTGAGGCTGGGGCTGGGTGGGGGTCCGAGCCACTGGCAGGCAAACAATCCACCTGAGTAACAGGAGAAGCTGTGGGCCCCCGCAGCTGCCCATTCCCCATGCCAGGAAAGTGGGTCCTGCCGGTGAATGCCACCATCTCAGCTCCTCCCGGAACAGCCCAGATTACCTCGACTGCCCTCCTTGTAATGGGGGGTTACTCCATGTTTCCATTCCCTCTTCCTAGACAAGGGCATCCTGGTGTATCGCTCTACACTTTGCCCCCAGGGAACTCTCCCTCTATGGGCCTGCAAATGTTCTGCCAGCTGTACATCGTACTCCAATTGCCCCCACTGATGGCTTCTGGCGGACCTTTGATGGGCCGCATGGTGCCAAGGATTAAGAACCCTCTGGGCAGGGGGAGCTGGCTTCCCAAGCACACAGTATGCCCAGCTGCCACACAGCCCACTGCTCCGAAAGCAACCTGCTGGGCAACCAGGCCTCAGAGCTGGCGCACGCACGTTTGCTGTTTCTATTGCCCAGCCCAGGCTGTCAGTATTTTCCCTGTTTCTAAGTGCCTTCCAATTGTAGTTTATGTTGGGGGTGACGACCTCCTCTTGCCTCCGTTATGTTAGTATAGTTTTAAGACAGAAAGAGATAAGCTATAATCTGACCCACTGGTCCTCAAGAAGAGAGGATGCTTATGACAAGAACAATAAAGTACATGGAAATGTTTGCTGGGTGCTGGCGCTGTCTGTGCATCTGTCAAGGGATGGGATGGCATTCAAAGAAAAGATGGCTTCGCACGCCCTCCCACCTAGCTTAATTAAGCCATGATTAGACATCACACAAAAGCAAAACCAAACTGCCCACATTCTGGCTTAGTGTCACATGCGAGCCCACAACTACCGAGCCAGGTTGTGGGCAATCAAACAGACCAAGATAAGACCTCACAAGCAGCCAGTCAGGATTTTGGCCCATCCAGGACAACGCAGCACACTTAAACAGCCAGCCACAACTTCCCACTTTTAGAAGGGATTCTTTTCCCGGTCTTAACTGAGATGCCACCAGGGACGTTCTGCGTGGAAACAGGCTGTCAGGCATTACGGCCAAGGGCTGCCTGGCTTTTAGATCTGGCCACCAGCTACAGTGGCTTCTCGCTGCAAGGAAGAGCGAGCTGGGGAACGTGTCACCTCTGGGCTTGAGGGAGCAGCTGGCAAAGCTGCTTTGCCAGGGAAGCTGCCTGCAAGGAGAGGGCAAACCAGGTCTTGCCATCTTGTACCTTCAGCAACAAAAACGGGCAGCTGAGCTGGCGTGGGAATCTGCAGTCTCCTGTGTCCCGGCACCTCCTTTCTTTGAAGACAATGCGAGACCAGCTACACAAGGGCAATTTATTGGCTAGCTATAATTTAGAGGGGAGGCCAGTGCAAGAGAGAGGTTGTGCTACGTGCCTGGCTTGTGTGCTGGGCCTTGTTCCCTCCGGGACTGGATCTGCAGCTCTTCGTCCAGCCGCTCCTTGGCTCTCACCACCTGCAGGGCAGAGGGTTGGCACTCGGGAGAGAATTCAGAGGCGTGTGTGGCAGACAGCCCACAGGCACTAAGGGGCACCAGGCAGCCGCCAGAGGGCAGCACAACCCAGGACAAGCCTGGGCATCTCTGGAACAGGCAGGTGGGGTGGGTGGAGGGGGAGAGGAGAGCCACGGCAGACTTTAGCGGCTACACAGAAAATGCCTGCCCCAGCCATCCAAGGTAACGCAGATGCTGTGCTGCGGCCCCCTTGCTTAAACCTGGGGGACTTAAAAATGCGATGCCAGAAAAAGGGAGGGGGAGGAGCTGAGAGTGGGCTTTCATCCAAGACTCCCCACCGACAACAGCCAGTGGGTCGTTTCCTCCCCTCCCGTCCCGGCCTGAGCAGGGGGGACTCACCTTGGACTGCAGGTAAAAGGAGCCCCCCACGGATTTGTCGTTCACCTTAAATAAATGCTCGTAGTTCTGCCGAAGAGAAGCAGGCAATGCCGGGGTCAGCCCCACCCGCGCGGGCGGCACTTTCGGGGGCGGGAAGGCAGCCCGGCGGGATC